TCCAATTTTCGGGGTGTTTGGGGACACCTGGCAACACTGCCACGACCTTGTTGGTGTTTTCTTCCTTTTCCACACAAAAATGCTCTTCCAACAATGATGACCGACCACGACTCAATGACGGGGGGGCACTCAGAGATCGTCGACGCAAACGTCGCCCTAAGCGTCGGAGCGCCGATTCTTGGCGCTCTGGTTTCATCATGGGAGGCGGTGTCGCGGGTGGTGGTGAAGTGTTGCTGCGAGCGGCTTCGACTTGGGCTGCCACAGCAGCGGCATGAGAGAGACTGCGGCTAGGCTCATCTGCTATTCGTGGCGCCATCTTGTCGTGAACGGTTGGTTGTCTGTGCTGACTGTGGCGATGTGGCGATTCGATTCTCTTCTCTTCACCAATTTATTGGAATGAAAGCAGCTTGGCTTCGATAGTCGTTGTCTTCCTTGACAAGCACTCACGCAAGTACTTGATACTGCAGATTGTCTTGAAAGTAAGTGTAGTTGTTCAGATTTGATTCTTGTGACGGAAGTGATCTCTGATTGCAGCTTCTTCTTCCTTTGCCCCAATTGCAAGCATTGCCTCGTTTGCTCTTGCGAGATTCGTGACGAGACGGCAACTGTCCAAAAAATGGGCAAGTGGGTTCGTACTTTGTAGATTTTATATTTAGCGAATGAACGTACGGTAAAGACTGAGTCGAGTCCCGCGTGTCAGGGATCCAACTACATACAGTGTGTTCCAATGACGGGGTGCCCTGACAAAAGATGTCATCTGTTGTGCTTCCCAAGTCCATGCGGCCAGGAAGGAGAAGGCAGACTATACATACATGCACATCGTGCCCGATAACATACAAGAAAAACAGGATCATACCATATGGCTACCGTAGCTATAATAGCTGGCTAGTAGAAGGCTCCGGGTGTTGATGACAGGCAGACAGATTAATTACAACATTTCACTCCCTCTCATCTTGATCAGGACTACATTGTAACTTTCTATTTCTTGGATCTCTTTCCAGATCCCTTTTTGGGTGGTCCTTTGCCCTTTCTTCTCATGAACTCTCGTTTGACATGTCTTCTCTCTTGTAACTCTGTCATGAATCCCTCTGGGTGGGCCTGTTTTATAATGACAAAACAGAAAACAATGGTTGACTTATTAGCAAACTGCAAACGCTTAGGCAGCAGGCATTTATCTCCAACAGCCTCGCTACAACACTTCAATTTCTTGTACATGTAGCACACTCACCTTTCTTGCGTATTTGTCAATAGGTTCATCGTAATATCGGTTCAGGTAGACCCCTTGGAGTGACTTTTTTGTTTTCTGATGGCCCGTTCGAACACCCAGGTTGGGAAAATAGCCAAAGATCTCTTGTTGGACCTTGTTGACCTCTCGTCGCAGAGTTGGATAGGTCTGGTACAGTTTGCGAGTTGTCAACCCCGCGGCTTTCGATGAGGCCATTGCTGATACTTTACTATACTGGTACTTTATCAATTGAGTTACTGTAGAATGAACCTCTTCGTTTGTTGCTGTGGCGATGCTGTCTACCTGATCATCAGAGAGAAAGGAGGAGCCGTGTACAAGCCGTCGCTGCCGATGCAAGGTGTGGCGTTGTTGCGTTGTTGTGTCAGTGGCCATGGTCTTCACTTGCAAACAAAACTCGCCCAGGTGGGAGGTGCACGTCTTGCTGTCTTCTGTATGCCATAACAGGGCGCTCAGTTGCTCAACCCCCCGCTGGATCCTTGACGGTCACAAAAGATCTTGCTTCTCAAAAGCAAAGCTTTCTCGAATTTCAACAATGCATACACCCTTGGAAACAATATGCATCACCGCGACTAACCATTACTGGTCCCATCTCTCGAATCCATCATTACTGGTCCCATCCCATCTCTCAAAGTTCCTGATCTTACTCGTGGTGGTTGCTGCTCTTTTGGTTCCATCCAGTCAGGCCTTCCCACAGCATCCTCTCCTCACTGCCACCAGGGACCATCATTGCCATGCCCCAAGACGACCATGGGGTGTTTTATCCATGGCCCTGACAACGATTAGACCCTTTTGTCCGTTTCGTAGTGTTGAGGGAACAACATTGGATGCTCCCATGGGCGGCATGCTAGAAGAGGCTCCGGATTTTGCAACCGAACTGACGTGCTTCAATGGGACAAACTTCCGATCCTGAACGACTCCGTGTTGTGGCCAATGGATTGGATCGCGCCATCGCTCAATGGGAAACTCTCGTGACCCGTTTACACATGAGTGGAGACTTTCAAACCAAGGAATACCAAGGAATACGCCAAATTGACCCAAGCGCATTTGAATGTACACGGACAATCTGTGACACAATTTGGTGCCATGATGCGATTGCAATCTGCCTGTATGCGGGCAATGGCCGACAATACACCTCCAACCCTTCCACCACCGGATGTTGATCACACCAAACTCATGGCTGAAGCCGAAGCTAACGCCAACAAACCATAGCCCTCCATGTCGGCCATGACTGCCGTGACTGCCATGACTGCCGTGACTGCCATGTCAGCCGTGACTGCGGCAGAACAAATTTAATTACGAGCCAACTATTTGAGGAGGCCACACTGAATCACGTTGTGAAAGAAGAATATGAACGAGTCTTTCGAGATCGTCAAAATTTGATTGAATTTGGAGCCAAATATATATGATACCTTTGATCCACTGGTGACATTGGCGTTTCTCGATCAGATTGAAGCCATTGAAGAACGATGGAGTGTCTTTTCCCGAGATTCTCACTCATGGGAGCTCGCAATGACACCTAAATTTTCAACAATGCAATGGCTAATTGTAAAGCATGGGCATAACAGAACAAGATTATCGAACATTGCTACGCAAGTCACACGATATCATGCGACAAGAAGCCGAAAGAGGCCAAGTGGGGCGATGAAAAATAATTAAAATGAAAATAGACTTGCGGAAAAGAGAAGAGGAGATTGACGGTAGGGAAATGGAAGGGATGAAGGATTGAAAGAAAGAAGGATTTTTTCTTCATGGATGTTGAATGGATGCTAAGGTTGGCAAGCAAGAATGGACTAAAAAGGGACGGATAGATGCCTTAGGGTACAGTGTGTAGGACAAGACCAGCCAGATAAAATGTAGAAAAAGTAGATTGAGTCAAGCATTGTAATGCAGTTCTGAGTAATTCTTTTTTTGTCTTCTTCTCCACAAGCACTGCACATCCCATGATTATTTTGGAGCAAGAAGTTTTTAGTCTCTGGGCAATGCGAGCCACACAAACCTTGAATTGATGATACTGATAACAGCTGTAAATGTTTCTCTGCTGCCAGAGAAACTTGCCGAGAAGTCGTAATCCATCTCCCTTCAGAATAGAGGCCTGGCATCCAAAACCATGCAGTACATTTCAGTGGGCCCAGTTATCGCATTAGTTCCCAGAAGGTCATACCACAAGCAGTCTGCAAGCTACAAAATGCTATTTACCTCACAAAAATGGCACTCTCCCGGAGCCTTCAAATATATAATAATACATGCACTATATAATGACATTATCTCATGGTATCTGCAGGATGAGTCCCATCTACCCCCAGAGCCTCCAATGCTTGCCGCGCACCCCATGCAGCGTTTGGATGTTGGAGTGCTTGAACCATGGCATCCACAGCTCCCTCTTCGCGGATAATGGCATGATTTTCGGGCTGGTCCATTGCCAAGCTGATCAATGTCGTGCAAACACAGAGTTGCAAACTGGCATGATGCCGCATGGCTTGTACCATGAGCCCGACACCGCCCCGTTGACAAATTTCTTGTTGGACCGTTCCGCCCGGAAGTGGTTCAAGGGCAGCAACATTTTGAAGCGTTTCGCAGGCGCATTGCTGCAATCGTTCGTAGCGAGGAAATCGAGACATGGCCTCCAGTACCAGTTGAATCCCTTGCAGATGGACCAATTCTTCCGCATCGGCATCTTCATAGCAAAGCACCCATAATTTCTCCAAGGCGAGGCATTGGAGGTGGGGATCCATGGGTAGTGCCCGCATAACAGCGAGAATGTCGTGAATTTCCACCGATGGATTGGTCAATATTTCATAGGCAGTGGCAGTGGGAGGCTGCTGCTGCGCGTAGACTGCAGGCGTGGCGTGGGTGTCATTTTCATCCAGTAGCATGCCATCATTGTCAGCGCCTGAATCATAACTCCAATCGTCGTACTCACTATTATCATCGTCAGTATAACCATCGTCGACCGAAACAGAGGAAGTCTTTGTGATTTCTTTGTGGTTAACAACAGCACATGGAACCATTTGAGCACCGGGGAGATCATCCTTCGGAAGCGTCGTTGGAGGAGCCATCATCAGCATCATCTCTGCTTCATCATCATCATCGTAAGAGTTGGAAATATCCAGAATTAGCGCTACCGGCATCTTGGTTGTCTCTTTGGTTGTTACGGTGGGCTTTGGAATGGTCTTTCTTTTGATAAGCTTGACGATACAATCAGGACCAACGCGATCGTTTTGTGCTGGTGGTGTAACAAGCGAAACCGGACTTCACTGTTTCAGTTGTGAGGAAAATTTTTGGCGCTACTTGGAGTACACCGTGGGCAAAGACCGTGCTTTCAAAAGAGTGAGAGGCCCAAACAGAAAGCAGGAAAGCAAACTCTTGTCTTGCCAGTCTTCCCACCGCATTTCTATTAGTCGTGCTCCCGATAGATTATAGATTATTGGTAGGGATGACAGTCTGTTTACGTACCATATTGCAGCTCTAAGTAAATCCCCGAACTATGCCAATTATTCAGGCATTGATGGTCACAAAGACCTTTCTTATGCCAGGAGACGTAAGTATTGCCTAGCACCGTAAGTATTGGGCTTCAATTTCCCTTATAACAGCAGCTACCCAGTATTGATTCAACCTGGCCCAATACGTATACCGATATCGCTTTCTATGTAGATATCTGGTTGGGCTGGTTGGGAAACAGTTGAAAATCATTCGATTGTTCAGGCCAGTTTGTTATCTACCTGCTAGCTCTAGCTCACAAGTCATGCTCTCATCAGTATTGCATTGGGTTGGATGGCTGGGCGGGTCATCAATCGATTAAAAACCCTCCATCTGATTAGTACTACTGGTGGTAGCCTCGCAGTGGCTCCAGGATTGAATGGTCCAGATGGCATCCTCACCTGCCCCTTTTGCATTTTGCCTCTAATCCTGTTCAGCATCAAGAACTTGGATCCTACCGTATGGCGACTGCCAAAGCCACTCAGACGCCATGGTGGCTGCGTGTCAACATTACTTACGGTCGGTTCTGTGGGTGGTCAGGCGAAGCCAACAACTAATAACTGGGCTCTGAGCAGTGCTTACGTACTTACTGCTCCAGTACTAGATTAAACCACTCAGTAAAGTCTCAGTAACTACGAAAGGTGCTCTGAGTGTCTGTTTGGTTTGTAAGGGTAACTGTAGACTGTAGTCCTACACAGTACGAGTACTCAAATAAGGTCTCCATGATGTAATCTTTTCCTGGATTGGCTTTTAAAAAGCCCAATTATTACAGTAATACAAAGCAGGTACGGTCCAGTACTAGCTAGTACTCATAATGCCAAATGCCGAGAACCGAGAAGCTTGGGCTTTTCCTTGTGCGGTGTGCCTTCTGCCTTGGGCCAGTGACGAGTCGTGGTTGCTCTAACTAAATCACTCCCGAATGGTGTCAAGTCAGGAGAGTTTGGGCAAGCTGAACCATCGACAAGCACCCCGCTAGCTCTAGGTATTGTGCAGTGTGAAACGCTTTGGGCCTCCTGGCCACGATGGTGCTTTCGTGCTGTCCGGACGCTGTGAATGCTTCTTGTGTGGATATTGGTTGGGAGTTGGGAATGGTGGATGGTGGAGGCAGTGCAGTGTGTTCTGTTGGCATCTTGGGGACGGCCGTAATGAGCCATTGAATGGTTCTTTTGATTACCGTACAAGTAATCGTGGCTGGAACCACCGTATGTATTAGCTAGACCGTGGTACGGACCGGTGGCCCTTGCAATGCACGAGTTTTATCCAGCGCCGTACCCGTCAATTCTATGATTTGAGTTGTGGGTTGTGGGACCATTGACGCCTTCTGGAGTGAGTCAGTCCGCCCTCTACTTTGTGTACAGGTCAAAGGCTACAGGCAGGCACCACTATCTGTACCGGGTCTCATATTCTTGCTTTTTGAAATTGAGCTTCGTTTCACGAGGACGAGGGGAAACAAGGAGACTGCATTCTTCCAATATGAGGGAAGGGAGAAAGATGCACATTTTCAGGATCCCTCCCAGCGAGCTAGGCATCAACAATGTTTCCAGAGAAGTACCAGATAAATGGCTGCTGTGCCTTTGGCTGATACGACAAGAACACCATGGAGCCCTATCTGCTGTAGAGATTGTTTTGATCGAATTACACTAGTATTCGCACTTGTGGAGGGTTGTTTCCGTTGCTGGGCACCTTTTCCTCGATGAAGAGCAGTGCTTCAGTATTCTTCGTTCCGGACGAGAGCTGCAATGCCCTCTGCCAAATTTTCGCGACCAGTCAAACGGCCAGACGAGGGAGGCAAGCCCGAGCTGTGCAAAGAGAGTGCATCGGCAGGCAGCACCGAGAAGGAAATGCTGCACCTCAAGACTGAGATGATCACTTCTTTGATATTGAATTGAATGAAAATCGAATCGAATCATAAACCCAGGTAATCTTATCACATGCATCATGAAATGAACGTCAAAACAACGTGACCTGCCTGTACCGGTACATGTATTCAACATGGCACTTTGAAGCTTTCGAGGTACAGTGGCTGAGCTGGTCGACTCACTCAGGGCACCCCAATCTCACTGTCATATCCAAAGATGGCAGTCATGAAATCCCATGCAGCATTCGACTCGCCCTGGACTTGCTTCCAGATAGCACCAAAGAATGATGACATTGCACCAGCAGTGGAGGAACGACCAACTTGAGTAACTGGAGGCAGCGGATTCACAATATGAGAGAACGTGGGGTAAGACGTCCTCGAGTAGATGTTGACAGACCCACCAAATGTCGTTGGACCTCTCTACAGGAACTCCAGGATGCGGTAAACAACATGCTAGAGAGAAAGAAGTGGCAGTGTGCTGCTTAATCTAGCTAATGGTCCGTCCTTCGTGCAACACCAAATATCGTGTCACTTTGATTGTTCACAGGAGAGCCAACAACAAATCGGTCGCCAGAATGGGAGATTTCCACATCAAGTCCAAATCTAATGAATTCGGGGAAGCCGCCCAGTTCATCTCCTCTGGATCGGTTGAATTCCACCGATTGCCAATCATTTCCATCGAAACGATACATCTTTGCAAGGCCACCCGCATTTAGCGGAAAAGGAAGATTAGGAACCAGGTTTGATGAAAAGGCACCAACAACCATTGTCAACCCATCGATCGAAAGGGCAACGGAGCCTCCAAAAAAGGAACCTCATTCCGGTCCATCAATGTCACTTGTGATACATGCACCGAAAACATCCATCATTGAGGCATCGTATCTGAAGCAACCACTGCACAAATGCATTGTGACCTACCTCCCCATTTTTACCAATGTCTCATCTTCACCGCCTCTCCTAAACACTCTCACATGGCCACTATAGATGGAGAATCTTCCAGTGTTGGCAGGACCTCCGATGGCATAGATTGAGCCGTCGCCATTGGTAGCCACTGCGTACCCAAATAGGTCGCTGAGTCCCTCTGCCTCCAATGGCCTGCTGGTGGCAAGATATGCACGGATCGGAACTGGAAGAAATTCGAACACAAACGCTTGCCCAATGTTGAAGGCAACGCTAGAATCATCACCAGGGGCCCCCACAATCAATCGCTGCCACTCGTTGGAGAGGGCCACAGACCACCCAAAACCTTCGATGTCACTTACTTCCGTCTCATTCCCGGTGCTATCTCGAAGCAAATTTTCACTCAGATTTTGAATCGGGGCATACTGGTTCGTCATATTGGGCCAGAAGTTGTACCCATAGACATACACTTCTCTGAGCGTGTTTTAGGCGTACCGGTATGGAGCTCCAACCACCAGTAGAACTCCATTGTAAGATATAGCAACACTTTGTCCAAAACGATCGCCAGGAGATTCGCCACTAAACACCTGGCGGTTACTCCAGCCATTATTGATGTATTCCCAGACGCCAACAATGCCAGCGTCCAACCCGGCCGTATCGTCAGCTGCGCAGGCCGTGACTAGAAAGCGTCTATTCGACGAAATCGCCACTGCGCTTGCAGCCATGCCATTTTGGTCCAGCGGACATGAGATAGCATTGCCTCTCTGAACCCAATCGGTTCCACTGAATTCGATGACCACATGGAACGTGCTGCTTCCAACCGCAATGATACTTCCGTCTCCGTTCATGTCGAAGCAAATCCCAAGGCCTGATTCATGGGCAGGTCCATCAATTTGACTTCTAAGTTGAATGAAGCCGTTTTGGGCCAGGCGGTGTTCCGCATTCGCGCTTTTAAGGATATGCCTTAGGTGGGTGTCTCTATGATGGCGGTGGTTGGCTGTTATGAAAGTTGTTGTGGTTGTCAACCAGCTTGGTTTGTTGTCATTGCTGCTGTATTGCTTGTAGAACTCAAACAGGAAGATTGTCAACAGCAAGCTCCCAGACAAGAGTGCCAACGCTACGAAAGCTCAGAGACAGACGCATCTTTGCTGGATGGAGGCTGCAAAAAGTATGGATGCGGCTAGCTAGGGGATACAGACTAAGCTTTTGGTTCTTGAAATTGGGTATTTCTGCGGCGTAGCCATGTCCTGAAGATCGATCCAACAGTCATTGCGATTGACGATTCCAGCCCAAAGTACCAGGTAATCAGTCACCCATTGCTGCATCGTGCGGTACATATATGATATCTCACATGTCACAGCTCCGGTAGGAACCGGTACTAGTACTGCACCGGTACTGGAACGGGTAACGGAGCACCGCTGAGATTCAATCAACGTGAGGAATTCCGTAGAAACCCTACCGTAGTAGCCCAAAGTCGTATGAGCTTCCCACCTCGAAATAATTGCATATGGCTCACCCACACTCACGTCGCAGGTGACAGCCATGGCCAGCAAAGTGCTGCGCCCATATGAAATAAGTACCAATTATTAGAAAAAAGAGCCTCACTATTCTATCATGCTGCCAAGGCTTCCGACAGTAGAGGGCCCCAAGTTTGCCGCTTCCTCGAAAGCTCGCAGGGTGCTTCCCGTGATGCCAAATCGCAGATAATACCTGCCAGTCTTACGGCCAGATTTAAAGGGGGCGAGTGACTTGCACAACTTCAATATCGTCTTCGTCGTCGCTGTCGTCATCGATTTCCAGAGGATTTGTAGCGCGTCCAGCTGTGCGGTCGCCCACGTTGGAAGCATACGAGCGTGCAACAGCGGCAGGTGATTCAAAAACTGGCATTGTCCCCATGCGGAGTCCATGGGGAGCACTTCCCACCACAATACCAGCAGGGTGGCGATGAGCCCCAAAGGGAGCTCCAAGCTGACGGAACAACTCGTGAATCGATGCTCCTCCCGCCGGCAAGAAACTGCTGCTGTCCTCATCTTCATCGTCCGTGTCAGATGACATTAGCGAGTCATCAAGGCGGCTCGCTCTCTCCGCGGCAGAAGCTCCATTGGGCCCTCTGCGGAGGCTGGCCGATCCTGGGAGCATGAAAGGATTTCCTCCCATCCCGGAAAAGATGAGACGGGCAACCCTGTGGGGTGGGAAATTGGCACTCGATGCAAAGCTGGCCAAAAGTCCTTCCAAGGCAGCTCCGGGGGCGAGATCGGAGCGCTGGTCCTTTTGTTTGACACGCTTGGTGTTCTTGGTTGGTGCGCCTCTCCTGCGAGCTTTGTTGACGCGATCAATCTTGGTAAAGCGAACTTTACACTGCGGGCAGGTGTTTTCTCTTTCGGCCCACTTTTCAATGCAATCAAAGCAATAGAGATGGTCGCAGCCATTAATATTTGCCAAATCTGCTGCTTCTGGTGTATCCATGCAAATACAGCAGCTGGGACTGCCTTCTTCTCCTTCTGGTTTGTTGTCGTCCTCCGAATCATCCTTTTTGGCAGCCGGAGGAGGCTTCTTCAGGTTGCCGCGTCGCTTCTTGGTTGCCGGTTCCTTGACATCTTCCGACGGCTTGGCAGCCGCAGCAGCAACAGGTGCTCGCTTTCGACTGACGCGAGTGGACCGTCTTGGAGGAGCCGCTTCCATTTCCGGAGATTCCAGGACCGACGCCGATGCCGCTGCCGACGGTGCTTGGGCGGCAGCTACAGGAGGAGCGTGTCTGCGATGGCGTCGTTCGCGGGCACGACGAGTTTCGGCCAGAGTATAACGAGGCCGTGATCCCAGCGCAGCATCCAAGGATGCTCTAAAGTCGGCACCAACACTTGCCGACGCGGCATAAGACCCTGCGGACGCACCAGCCAAGGCTTGTTGTAGGGCGGTTGGCATCGATCCCAACCCAGGCGAAGAGTAGTGCGGTAGTCCTGCGGCGGCAGCAACTCCAAGGGAACGAGGAGGCAGCGAAGCAGCCGAGGGTTGTTGAGCCGCGGAGAGAGCGAGAGCAAGGGGACTCGTTGTAGCACCAGGTCCGCTGAAAACCCGAGTCGAGGGTTGATTGGCAAAGGTGTGTTCCATGGTTGTTGTTTGTTTGTTGTCGGTAGTGATGAACTATGTAGTTAACAAGCAACCAACCTACTCGTCACAGCGCGCAAGAGAGGTAACAACAAAGCAAGTGTTAGAACTGCGTGCAGTCCCAGGCAGTGTATGTCTGTGAACGAAATGGAAAGCGTCGGTCTTTGGCATGGAGCCGCCCAAAAGAACCGGAATGGCGGTCCAGTGCCATCTTTTGCTGCTGTCGTCAAAAGAGGGCTTGCGCCAGCCAGCTCCCCTAACCCTCATGAGCAAACAGGGCTGCGAAGGAATGTTTCAGGAAAAAGTCCGACAGACAGGGAGCCTCGACGATGAAGAAAGAACGCTTGTACATTCAAGCATAATAGGATGGTGGACCTTGTTGGCCCAACAATGGCCTCTCCTTGAAGCCTAGCTAGCGACTGTGGAGATCAACATCGACAGCGGACTGCTGATGGATTTCTTGATCCTCCAAAGCAGACCAACAGTAATGCAGACCAACAGTAATAACGACCAGCACATGCTCAATGCTCAACCGAAAAACCGAATCTCTAGCTAAAATACTCGATCGATCTACACTCACCGACTAAAGATGCTTGCTTTGGGTTTGTTGTTGTTGTTTGTTGTTGTTGGTTGATGCCTTCGCAACGTTGCTCTGGTTGTAGTAGCGCTGCTGTGGCGGCTTTTGATTTGAGATGCAATTCCCTGGGCGGGTGGGCAACTGCTTGATCAGTGCCGCTCCTACCAGAGCGGCTTGCTTGCGATGCCTTTTTCAGTGTTATTCTTTGTTCTCTGTCGAATATTCGAGAAACTTCTTGAGTGTAGCGTTAAAGGTAGAAAGACTGATGAAGGCTGGGGTTAACGGCCGCAAGATCTTAATCGAGAAGATCTTTGTCTTGGTTCCTCGGTTTTTGGTTTGACACAACCAAGACGAAAGACGATGAAGACCCCAATGAGGATACCCAGTCGGCTACTACTGGTAGCCCTCCACCTCTTGCTATTGCTGGCCACGACCATTCAGGCTTCTCTTCCTCGGCTGTTTCCTGCTGCCAAGCAAGAACGCTACGATCCTCAAGCAAGGCTACTTTGCACTGTCCTCGGACATCCTTCTCTGTTTTCAACGCTTCGACATCCTCTAGTAGTAGGCACTACCAGTACCACCGGTAGTACTGATCATGATGATGACCATCCCATTCTGGAAGCAGCCAAGAAAAGGTTCCTGGAGTACTTGCAGCAGTTACCCGATTATGCCGAAGAATACCCCGTGAATCCCCACAAGCAAGAATTGAAGCCAATCAAGTCCATCAAGTTGGTGGTACGAGATACTGCTAATAATGCGACCTATCACCACGTTCCCGCTAATGTCGACGAATCCTACCAGATTCAGATTGATTGTAATACGGGGGACCAACATCGTGTGCTGGTCCAATCTCGCACTGTCTTTGGAATGGTACGTGCCTTGGAATCCTTGGCTCAGTTGGTCGCTTTCGGTTGGATGGATACTTCTTCTTCTTCCAGTACCGATCCTGTAGGATCCAGCAGCGACGGCAAGGCCGTGTTTGTCATTCGCAACACGCCTCTGTTTGTAGCCGACAAACCAACCTTTTCCTACCGAGGACTCATGATTGATACGGCACGGCATTATTTACCCCTCGATTTGATCCTGAGTAATCTGGATGTGATGTCCATGAACAAACTGAATGTCTTGCATTGGCACATGACAGATGATCAGTCCTGGCCTTTTCAATCCACTACCTATCCCGAGATATCAGAAAAGGGAGCATACGATCCCAAACATAATGTTTATTCCCATGATGATGTCCAACAGGTTCTGGACGCAGCCTTGCTGCATGGCATCCGTGTCATCCCAGAATTCGACCTCCCCGGCCATTCTGCAGCGGTCGGGAGATCCCATCCCGAGCTCATGTCCAGTTGTGGGGACGATAAAAAGTACTCCTTTTCCGCACCTCTAGATCCCACCAAACCACAAGTTTACCAATTTGTGGAGAATATCTACAAGGAAGTGGCTGCACTCTTCCCAGATCCCTTTATGCATGTTGGCGGTGACGAAGTACGATTGGATTGCTGGAAGGCAAGTAAGAGCATACAGCGATGGGCCAAGGTGCATGGACACATGACGGAAAAGGAACTCCTCAATTACTTTGAAAGTATCCTCACGGATATTGTGGCGTCCAATGGCAAGACTCCGATTGCCTGGCAGGAATTGCTGAACGAAGGTGTCGACCTGCCACCGGGGACTATCATTGACGTTTGGAAAGGATTTGACAAGGATACCATTATCAATGCCACCAAACGAAACTATCCCGTCATCATTTCGGGTTGTTGGTATCTTGATCATCTCCAGGACAAGTGGAAGGATTATTACAAATGCGATCCCTTAGATTTCAATGGTACGAAAGCACAAAAGGACCTGGTCATGGGAGGACATGCCAGCATGTGGGGAGAACGGGTCGATCCCACAGACTTTACAGCCAGAGTCTGGCCAAGAGCATCCGCCGTGGCAGAACGATTGTGGTCGGGGAACGACCCAAGGAAGTCCTTGCAACAAACGGTGGAACAACGTTTGACCAATTTCCGGTGCTTCATGGTGCAACGCGGTGTGTCCGCTGCTCCCATTGGGCCAGGGACCTGTGGACGACGACAAGAACAACAAGACGGAACAAAGTTGTTGTTTCTAAGATCGCGACAAGCAGACGGCTGAAATGACAATCAGCATGCATGCGAAATTTGTCTCAAAGTGCCAGACAGGGCAGGCACGCCATAAAAGTCAATCATAACCAGATAGATAAAACATTAGCTACCGGTTGCTATTCTATTACGTATTCAATGGATGCACTCTTTATGTATAGTAAACCAGTGGTACGAGTACCAACAATTTCGGTTGTCGAGCTCATGTGGCTCAGCCAATCTAAATACCGTTCAAAATCAAACGGAGACTTCAGCCTTTTGGGGGGCTTTTCCCCATAATGATACTGGCCTGTCGTCGACGAGAGAGTTGATGCTTTGGGGCCTACTGAGATTGTGGGGCCCGCTCAGATCGCTTTCTGCAGACTCCGACGCTTCGGTTGCAGTTTCCCAATCCGCCTCGTCTGAGACCAAGCCGTATTTCTTTAGGCCTTGGCCAAGCACCTTTTCTAGAGTGTTTCGATTCAGAGTCCAGCAGACTGCCTCCTTCACACAAAGGCAGTTGGCAGACCGCAAGGGCGCGCGGGAAGTTCGCTCAGCCAGCTGATCGACGCCCGCGAAGTCGCGTACATTCACGTCTGTGTCTCTAATGCTTGGGCTGCTGAGACGGAGAAGGCCCGAAACAACCACGTAACAAGAGTCGCCAGCCTCGCCTCGTTCAAAAAGAGTCTCGCCGGATCTGACCTTGACCTGGCGAAACTCCCGTTCCAAGGCATACATGCTTGCCTCAGGGATTCTACTAGTAGGGGCACAAGAGAGGCGCGACGGCAATGAGAATTTGAGGCAATGGAGCCGCATAGGGGCAAAGAATGCACGTACCTGGAGAAGAATTCATGCGATGACAGCTGCTCACGAAGCCATCCCAGGGCCATCCGTTGATGCTGCAAAGGACCACACCAGACTGTCATTGCATCTTCCGAGATAAGGAGCAGCCGAGTTCTTTCGGCTGCCACCAAGTTTGCTTTCTTCATCAACTGCTCTTCAGCCAAAGACGTGGATGCTTTCTCGCCGAAGAGCTGGCCGTATCGGTTGTAGGTAAACAACACCTTGTCCTCTTCGACGATATCCACAGAACCCTCAATGAGAATCCAGCACACATCGGCCTTGTCTCCAATATCTCGCAATGTGCAGCCCGCGTCCACAGCAATTTCTTTGCAGTTGCGAGCAAGCTTGTGACATGCATCTTCTGACAAAAAGGAGGAGATGCTGCTTTGACGAATAACTGTTGTGCGCAGCATGGTGCCCATGACACCGATCATTCGAATCCTCAGCTTCAGTCGCTGCCAAAACTCGGAGGATGTTCCCGAAGAATGAGCCGGGTCTTCCTCCTTTCGACGCTTCAGCACAGCAACTTCCGTCGCAGGAAGGACCAAGACGCGGCATGTCTCGCTGATCACTTTGACTGAATTCATCATCAATCCGTTTCCGAGAGAGTACTTGTTCGAAGTCGCCGCCAGCGCTTCTGACAAGGCGCCAAACACTGCGCCCGCTCCCAATTCTCCGCCACCCTCGATGCCAACGATTCCCGATTGAACAAAGTATACGCAGCTCTGGCTGTCATCGGCCCTGAGCACATAATCGTCCAAGTTCAGGTCGAGGCGGCAAAGGCTCGATGCATCGAGATATGGTACCAAGTCTTTCCACACCATGCCCTTTCCCATCAAGGCGGACTTGACATTCTCCACTTCAGCCTTCTCCTCTGGTGGAACAGCGCTCGCAGCTGCCAACCGTGAAGCTACCAATCGCGCTGTGTGATCACATACCGCTTGGAGATGCGCAAACTGTGCATCTGGGCGCTCGTCATGGCAGTCCATTTCCAACTGGTTTTCAATTGACGAAACGAAATCCACAACCATCTTGTGAAACTGGTCCATGAAATCCATTTCAATTCTACACAGCTCCGTGGCGACGTAGCACAGATTGCCAGATGAGGACCCCTTGGTGAGAAGTGGCTTCAGCTGCTTGGTCGCAAGCTTAGTGAGCCTTGTCGGGATCGTGCGTCGCATGCGAATCAACCTCGAGCAAGGGATCTCCTTTTCAAGACTGCTGCAAAGTTCGATGGCTGCCCGTTCAAGCATGGGAAGTGTCGATGTGATAAACTTCTCGTGAGTCTTGAAGCGCATTGACACAGAATGGGCTATTCCACTTGCTTCCTGCTGACCAGGGAAAATGTTTGCATCCAAGAAGAAAACATTGCGAATCTCGCAAATCTTGTGGAGAAACTTTACCACGTTCCCGTAAGCCTTCTTATCAGCGTATGCTTCGATTTGGGGTGTGTGCAAATTCCCGATGCGGTAGGGAATCATGGCTGATTCCACTCGCAAATTGTGAGGCCCATGAGCTACCACAAAATCTTCCGTCGCATCGCGGCCACCTTTATCAAAGAGGATCTTGGTGCCACCCTATAGACGTAAAAGTCACATTAGTCGACTGAGGAAGGGCTCAAACAGAAAGCAGAAACATTGGTACTTACAGGATGCAGCCGCAAATAGGAAGTAACATCGTACACATGGTCCTGTATTCAACGACGATTTTGTTAGACAAGGATTCTGCCGAACCCGGTACAATCGCAAAAACAAAAACCAGCAGCAGCAGCAGCATACCTTGTAGACCCACCAAAGGTCGTCCATCGAATTGTGCTTTGCAACCTCCGCGTAGGAAATTGCAGGAAGCGACGGGTCGTGTACGGATCCAGAGTAAAAGCAGTCTGTCCTGATGCGTTGCTCCGCCATCATCAGCTCATACTTGGCGGAGCTCTGCTTGGGCGAGTACCCAAGCGTGGTGCACACTACCGTCTCAAGGACAGATCGCATCGAGGTATCCAGCATGGGATGCCCGCAAAGGAACAGGTTGCCTTTGAGCACCGTCAACCTGGCAAGCATTATGGCAGATGTTCCCCTCTTCATGGCCGTCGTGATTCTTTCCTTTCTACCCGTAACAATCCGAATCCTTCCCTCATCAGTATTCGCGGCCTTCATCTCCCCTGAGAAGGAAATGAAAACTTGGACTCCGAGTTCCTCCATAGCTCGCTCAAGCAAAGGCACTCCAAACAGATTCCTCGAATATCTCAGGCCCCAATAGAAGTAGATTTGACCGGGGCAGTCATTTTTCCCCCTGTCTAGGAGTTCTTCGAGGAAAGCGAACATTGGAGCAGCACCGGATCCCAGCGCAACCAGCACCAAGGGATTCTTGTCATCCCCGGGCGGCAAATGGAAGCTTTCGTCTTCGATCGCCTTGATGGGGACATATCGGTAGAGGGAGTGGTTCAAAAGGAAGGAGGTGCAGACGCCCATGTGTCTAACTGTTGAACCTCTCTTGCCTCGGCCATTGTCCTGGACCGTGCTGGACCGAAGATGATTGGACCGCACGAAGCTGCCATCCATATCGTTCTTGCCTTTGGTGTCACAGACCACCATGCTAGCCCTGCCGCTTCTGCGGGAGCGCATGCCGACGAAACTTGAATCCATATGATCACTGGTCTCACTGATATCAAGCGTCTCGCTATCGTCGTCCATGTCATCGAGTTGCAGTTGCACGGATGGGTTCATCGACCAGCCATCAAAGACTAGGCTACCCCGACCGGACGCGAGGCTATCCGCTTCGAACCAGAGCCTCGAAATGACAATGGAAACGATCGATGGAGAAGTCATTGGCGGAGGCGAGTTGGCAATGGAGTAGAGGCGGGGACGAAGCGGAGGGAGAATCGAGCATAGCTTGCTTGGTAGCTCATGTATGGCCTCGCTTGACAAGGCTCCTTCAGGCTGCATGTCACGGAGTAGCTCAATGAGCTCGGGGACATCATGGATCTTCCCCTGTCGAAGTTCTCTTTCGACGAGACTGTGGCCAGACATGCCTGCAGCTGCGCAGACTGAGTCAAAGACTGTCTTTGTGAGAGGTCGTAGGTGCATGATGCGAAGCAGAGCAGCAATTGGGAAGCTCTGGGCTGTGATCTTTTCATAGCTCTTGGCGACGGCCTCTTTCCATTCATCCGTGTCGACTGTGACCAGAAGGTTGGAGTCTGCCAGATCCATAGAACTCACACGCATTGCCTTTAACATGCGGCCGATGATCTCGGGTCCGTTTGCTGGCATAATTTCCAAGCGATCCCCCGCTCTGTAGGTCATGCCGGCACCTGCAATGTTGAATGTGACACGATAAGATTCACTACCAGGGACCACTCCAATCTCTTCGATGTTTTGCACGAAGGCCTCGGTGAAGCCATTCGAAGAGACATTCGTTTGCAAGTTCATTCGCTCCTCGATGCCTTGGTAAAGATCTTCGTTGACCTTACGCCAAACTCTCGCTTGCCAGCCGACATCGGTAGTAGTTTGGGCCGTCTGGCCACTACTCTCCGTGCGTCCGGTTTTGACGCCGAGCTCCAAGAAACCCATCGTCTTGATACGATGCACTCCAAGAAAGCCCTGTTCAGATGCAAACAATCGCACCAAACGATCAAAACTGCTGCGGAGTGCTCTCGATTGGCTTTGGCAAACATACTTTCGCACCGAGCATATGCCAAGGCGACGGAAGAACTCTTGGTGAAGAAAGGGGAGCCATGGGCGCTCGTTCATGGCAAGGCCGCCGATTTCGCCATTGTAACAATAACGTCCTAGCAAGACATCCATCAGATGTACAAAGCTGGACTGCAATCCACTCATGCTGAACTCTCCCTCCAAAATGGGAGGGATCAGCATTCCGATCGACTAAGTTCAAGGAACAGACATAGCAATGTTAATTAAGATGTTTCGAAGTAGAGCAACAGCTTGGACCTATCTTTTGTACTCACCTTGGACCAACCCACAGGGTCCACAAAGCGTTCAGAGTTTGCGTTTGGTATGGCTTGTAGAAACGCGTAAGTGACTTTCTTGACGACCTCGCCCATTTGAAGCAACACACTGGCCAAGCCCTCATCATTTCGGGCAAGGACATAGTCGACAGCATCACAGCAAAGGCCAATCAGGGGTGTGGTCTGATACTCCATATCGTGGTTTACTACGACGAAAATGTTTTCCGTGTAGTCACCAAAGACTCGGACATCACAGGATACCTTGGAGTAGGTTCGTTGGGGAGCTCTGTCCCCGTCTGGTTCCCAGCAGGTGGTTCTAGGAGCATCATTCTTGTGAACCACATTCAAGGTAAAGTAGTCATAGTAAGTGAAGGTCGGCTTGGGACGGCCCAAGCGTAGATTCACCTCTTTCCATGGCTGGAATATCGCAGCAGGGATGATGCATCCATTTTTGCCCTTGACATTATCCGTCGGATCGGAGCATTGCTGCCGGTGAGTATCACTCTTGTGGACAGCGGGAGGTGCAAATGGGCACTTGGAGGGCGTTCCTTGCATTCCGTGAGGCTGGGTTTTGGCAGGTCGCGCCGAAACCCAGGCTCCTGGAGATTCACCTTCAAGCTTCTTCTGCTGAAGATTTTGTCGTTTGTGGCGTTGATCGCCGGGGTTGGCCATCTTTGAAAAGTGGACAGTCGCATGAGCCGCCAAGCCCAAGATTTGATTGGCACGAAGAAGATCTGCGTCGTTGAGATTTTCAGTGGTCAGCACTGGTTGGCCGTCAAAGTAATCACGGTAGGCTCCTGTTTGATACAGGGAGGGCAAATGCTCGGCCCATTCCTCCCACAAAGCATAGATACCCTCGAGTTGATCCAAAGGACGAGGGCTGCAAAGGCCGTATTCGTAGCTCAAGAAACCATCTAGAGCTGTTGGCTCAGAGTCCAGCAGTTCCCTGAGAGGATTGGTGCCTTGTTCATGTTCCTGCATGGCTTCACAAATTAATGGATCAATGATAGATGTCTCTGTTTCCTAAGATAACAAAGCAGAGAAATAGCAAATTGGGTTAAGATCAGACTAGCTGGTAACATCAGTTCTCTTGCCTGAGCGGCATCAATGCACAACTCGCCCATTGTCTTAACTTACTGCTTACAGTTGGCTGTCAAAGTTCCAGCAATTCAGGAACACAAGATTGTGAGAGAAAGCAGCTGGATGTGTTGACAAAGAAAATGGAGCGAACAACTGAGAAATTGAGGAATTGATGTGCTTTGTTTTGTAGCTAGCGCGGCAACGCGGCAACCGTGTATGATATCGTTGGAACGTGTCCCGTATCTTTTGCAGCTCTGGTGTGACTTACAAGGAGGCATGAAGGTACACGTACTGTACCAGCGAACGAGAATTAGAGGGCATTCCTGTCGATTGTATTGCCCCGAACAGTAACAGTAAGCTAACAGTACCGGTACCTCCTCATCAGTAGTACAGCAAGGTCAGGAACCAGACTGCAATCCTTTTTTGACAGTTTCTCAAATGAGAAAGTAGTTTCTCATTTGAGAAACTAAGTTCTGAAATGAGAAAGTTAATTTCTCATTTGGTTGAAATGAGAAACTATCTTTTGAAATGAGAAACTATATATATGAAACTGCTAGTACATGTGTTGTGATTTCTGCCAGAAATGAGAAACTATTTCATCAAATGAGAAACAAAAACTGTTAGTTTCTCAAATTGAGAAACTAAAAATGAGAAACTAAAACTAAAAATGAGAAACTAAAACTGTTTGAAAAATTTCAAAACATCATTGGGGTTTCTGGACCTTGCAGCTGTTTCGTGCTTAAATCAAGATCACATCTTGTTAATAAAGAAACTTCAGCTGCATGCAGCCTGCTGCACGGATCGGTAAGTCCCCGCATGCCCCTGGGCCCCGGGCCGGGCGCATGGCCCCTGTGGTGAATGTGGCTGTATAATAACTGCAGTATAAATTTTTACAATAATTATATTATCGATTTCTGTCCCACTTAGGATTTAACATCATTACTGAAACGCAAGGACAATAAGGCTGTTTCTGTTTCGTACTCTGAACTCAGGTGGCAAGAACTATTATAATATATATTAATTAACAACTACGAGTACATGTAAGTCAATTTCGTTTCTCCACTGTAGGAATTAACGCGATACTGAAACTCTCTCGCTATTAAAAAAATAGAACCTTTGAAGGAGCACGTTTGCATAGGCCTTTTTACATCATAACTAAACCAAGAACCTCAGTTTCAGCAAGGTCCGGAACCAGACTGCAATCCTTTTTTGACAGTTCTCAAATGAGAAAGTAGTTTCTCATTGAGAAACTAAGTTCTGAAATGAGAAAGTTAGTTTCTCATTTGGTTGAAATGAGAAACTATCTTTTGAATGAGAAACTATATATGAAATGCTAGTACATGTGTTGTATTTCTGCCAGAAATGAGAAATATTTTATCAAATGAGAAACTAAACTGTTAGTTTCTCAAATGAGAAACTAAAAATGAGAAACTAAAACTAAAATGAGAAACTAAAACTGTTTGAAAAATTTCAAAACATCATCGGGGTTTCCGGACCTTGCAGGTTGCATGTGCCGGCAACGCTCCCAAAGGACCGCTCTGAGCTCCGCTCTGTCCCTCTGTCTTCACAGTCCACAGTCGCATGCTTCTTTCTCTCTTCTACATGTACCACCATGTCTCTGTCTCTTGCTGCTTGCTGGCAGCTGCCTACTCACACAGTAGAAGCTACCAGGTACTGTAGTCTAGTAGGTCGTGACCCTGACCTTCTTCACATACACCTGTTTTAGGCAGCTGCTCGATCGTTGGCTGAAGCATTGAAGGCAGGCACTGCAACTACGGCTGTAACAGGTACCAGCATCCATCCTCGTCCGTGTACATGCTCCTGGTAGATAGATGCTCAAGAGACGGCGGTGGACAAAGGTGGATGCTGTTGCACCTTTGCAGCTTCCACCTAACCCATGCCTTGAAACCTGGAAGGAACCCAGGATGCATTTTTTTGTTTTCATGTGGTCCTGTTACCAGTTACCGGTACATACCATGTACCTCCCGGTATCGGTACTACTGGTGGTACCAGGTACCGGTACCGGTACATATACTGATTCGATTCATTACATGCTACGGAACCGGGGTACCGGTACCGCAGCTCTAGCCAGACTTTGAGAATTGAAGGAGCTATTGAAGGTACGGGTACCAGACAGCGAACGGACGAAAAGGGATTTCATTGGTACCAACATCATGTCCCGCCAGGCTCGAGAAAACAGACCCGAACACACAGCTATCAAACTATGCAACTTCTCTTTTGCTGTTGTGACTGTTTTCATGATGCGTATGAAGACTACGGTAGCTACTCGAGTAGCTAGCTAGTAGTAGTACCAGTAGGTTTTCTTGTTGTCACTACTTGTTACCGGTACATGTGCCGTTTCCAAGCGATCCCCCGCTCCATGCCGGCACCTGCAATGTTGAATGTGACACAATAAGATTCACTACCAGGGACGCGGGGGATCGCTTGGGAATTATGCCAGCAAACGGACCCGAGATCATCGGCCGTATGTTAAAGGCCATGCGTGTGAGTTCTATGGATCTGGCAGACTCCAACCTTCTGGTCACCGTCGACACGGATGAATGGAAAGAGGCCGTTGCCAAGAGCTACCAAAAGATCACAGCCCAGAGCTTCCCAATTGCTGGTCTCCTTGGCATCATGCACCTACGACCTCTCACAAAGACAGTCTTTGACTCAGTCTCAACATTCAATCTATCTGTGCAGTAGAGCATGGTACCACTAGCTAGAGGAGTGGGTGGCTTTGCGTGAAGCTTGGAGCACCTATTCCAAAGTGTCAAACGGTATTTTTCGCTCTGTGGAAAGATGAAGCATGCTTATCTGAAAGGGCCCAAAATCGGGATTTACATATAATTCTGCTTTTTATTTGGGTTTCGATTTCATATTTGAGTTTCGATTTCATATTTCGGTTTCGATTTGATATTTCGGTTTCGGTGATTTTTCTAGTTATTTGCTATAGTTATTTGGTTTCGGTTTTATATTTAGGTTTCGGTTTCATATTTTGGTTTCGATGTTATATTTTGGATTGGAATTGATCAATTTAATTGGGTTCTTAAAATCCTGATTTCGGGCCCTTTCTCTGCCAACCCAACCATGAGGAAAAGGCTGAAAATTCAGATTACTTCTGAAAGATCTTGCACTTCAGGGCTGGGGTATACCTTGAATTATTGTATCTGATAATTACTGCATCCCCCTGCAATTGGAATTAGGCAGATCAAAAGTCGTCGTCTAATAAATTCTCCTAGTAAGCTTGAATTAGGCAAGATCAAAAGAATGTTGTGGCTGAGTAAGGAGGAGTTCGAAAGATCGCTGCAGCATTGCTAAATTTGATTCAAAAGATTCTCCATCAGGCAAGGCAGTTCTTCTCACAAAGTTACAAGCAACATAGAAAACAATCTCACAATGAAACTTTCAGCTACAACCCTAATCTTTTCCATCTCTTTGACCTCCTTGGCCACAAAGGGTCACGCCATCAATGCCTGGGATTGGGCCCCATCGGTTGCCTTCCTCTCCAACTTGGATGAAGCCAATGGATGGGGATTCTGCCCAGACATCACTGGATTCGAAGACTCCTTTGGTTGTGATCTGTTGCAGGTCCATCCCTGCAAGGAAGTTGGTACTGACACGCAGTGGGAGTATGATCCCACCACCAAGACACTGAGCCCTTACAACTACAAGACTGGTTGGTGCAGCGATGATGCGACTCGAGCATGTCTAGCTGCTGCATCCCTTACAGAGAGTAGCACCGTTGTATTGTCAGCCTGTGACCAATCCGATGAGCAAACCTTTACTCTCACTGCAGACGACTATCTGCAAGTTGGCGGTGGGAGCAATCTGTGCTTGGGTGCTGGAGATGATCAAAGATCTTCAGGAGGATTGTACGTACGCGACTTCATCTTGCGAGATTGCTCTACCACAGACCCAATTTATTTGCAGTACGAAATCAAGGATGCCGATGGGAATCTCTTGACTGGTGTAGATACTTCTACCTTTAGCCCACCACCCACCCCAACCCCTGATGAGAATGCTTCCAACATGGAAACTCCACCGAATGAGCAAAACAACGGAGATCGTCCTCCTCCGCCCGATGGTGAAAATGGTTCGCCTCCTCCACCCCCTGGAGATGGCGAATCACCGCCTCAGAACGGAGATGGTGATGTGACCCCCCATGCCGGCAACGAGACTAATGTTTTGGAAAGTGCATCTTCTTCCACGAATATCTATCTCTCCTCAGCTGTTGCAGTTTTGGGAATGGTTTTCTCTTTTCTATCATAGATTACACAAGCTGAAACTTGGCTTTTTATCAAGAAATGTTGGGGAATGGTAATGACATCCAACCCTTGAGTACAACCAACCTCGTTTTTGCAACGCTAGACCATGCGTTAGATTTGTTTTCATGATGTGCTGCAGCAAACGGAGACATAGGACTACTGCTTCTGTCCAGCTGGGTGTGAAGACAGGATTTCCCAGTGATAGCTAATTTCCAACGTTGCTGTCAGCACGGTCTGCGATATGGTTTGGCAACCAGACAGGTCAATTCTTTCATCATGATATGCCAGCATACCGGTACCAGTACACTGCTGAGCGGGCTAGCACTATAGTCCTCCTCAACCAGTTGATAAACTGGGCTCTTCTTTCATTCCCATCTTGGCGCCCCGGAGTCTGCCTCCTGCTCCAATCCTTCTCGTCATCGTTTGCAGACCCGTTGCGCGGAGAATGGATTGTCCATCTGCTCAACTCGGCCGTTGCAACATTCCTGTTCCAACCTTGCTACAGCCACCATGGCATACAGAGAAGGATCAAACACAGCAGGTGTGGACAAGAGGTAGACCAGAACACTCAGTTGGCGACTGGATGCTACAACAGCTCCTACCCACTGCTCCAAAGACGTTTCGTCATCTCCCGAGGCTGCAAGGATGGCATTGGCTTTGTTCACCCCTAATTGGAAAAGAATGGCATCTTTGGTGTTTTTGATCAAACTCAAACTTTCGACCTTGAAAGCCCACCAGAAGGTCACCAAAACTGACACGCTTCAAACTTGGGTGGTTTCAATAGTTTGGACAATGGGTTCCCAACGACGGGCTACGTTGCCTCCCAACCAGATGTCGTCGAAGTGCAGATCTTCCAATTCATGATGCGAACACGAGGCTGACAAAGCCACCATCGACGCTGTCAGATGGATGACGGAAGTCAAATCCACTAATCTTCAATTCCTTGAGGTGCGAAAACGATTGCTGAATCTGCTGAAAGAAAAGTGGAATTCTTTCCGCAATGAAGGCCACAGTGTCAGACTTTTCAACTTGGGAAGCCAGCAAGCCGTAAAAAGTGCGAGTTCCTTGTCCCCCCATCCAACAACTTCTATGGATACACTCTCAATGTGAGAAAAGTGCGTTTTCAAAATCAGTTGCATGGCTTCGCAGTCCCACAAGAACCCCTCTCCGTGCATCTCTATCTCCGACAATCCATGTCCCATGGCATTGGCAACAGTCTCCATAGGGGCTTGCCCGTTTTGAGGTCTTTCCCTCCTCTCTCAGCACATCGTAGTCATCATCAGCCACACCCAGCCCCAACTCTAGCTAGGACGTATCAAATCCAACTCTTCTTGGGCCTACCGGTAGTACTCCAGATCAGATCCAGGTACCGGTACCTCCGAAGAACCTAGTACAGATGGAGTTGCAGAGCCGAAGACCTGCAGTACGCTGTAGCGTCCCTCTGGGCAGTGGATCTGATATTCCTCCTGTCTCTATTGGGCCTGCACTAATCTACTCCAGTAGATATACATGTCCCACACTACTAGCTAATAGCTAGACTAGCTAGGGCCAACTCCGGATCCTACCTGTACCGGTACCAATACCGTCCATTCCCAGCCCCACTCCCTACATGGTCCATGCTACCCGTTCCAGTTGGCTTCACTTTCATGCACCGTACTGTACCTTCCACGCAGGCGTCGCGTGCACGATTGCAAAAGCAGATAAATAACCGAGATATCGTGATCATTGCAAAATAGCAGCAACAACAGTTCCTTCATCACAAGCATTCGCACCACGGAGAGCAGAATAACAAGAGACTCAGTGCTTCGCTACTAGTATCAGATGAACACAAACAAAACAAAGAAGACAACGATGCTTCAAGTATCTTACCGCAACGTCGGCGGTAAGGGGACACAAACCCTCGCGGTCAAGCGGAAATTCGAAAAGGGGTTCGAGTTGAAAGACATCATCATTGCAAAGCTCCAACAAGAATATTGGGGCCCGCGGGGCGTAAAGCTGACACGTTCGAACATTCGCCTATTTGGATGTTGTGATAGTGGCTTGAAATTTGCGATGACGAATTGCTTCCACGCACAAAAGCGACCACAGAACAGGAGGAGAAGAAAGACGACGGCTCCGTGCTTGCAGAAGACGACAAATCGAAGGAGAGGAAGACGCTACTTTCTTCCATAACTCACGTTGTTGCTGTTGAGTACTTTGAAACACTTCCTGAACACTTGCTTCGCAGAGTGAAACTCTACGAAGCAATTCCAAGAAACTGCACTCACAGTCATCCTGACTACACAGTGACTGACTATACGAACAAGTCTCGTCTCTGGTGTGCCACTTTTCGTGCAAACGAACAAAAGATGCCATGGTACGAGAAAAAGGGAAATCAAATCAAGTGCTGCGGCGTGTCACTCGCACCCGTGGATAGGAAAGCGGAAACGGAATCTATGGCAACCGGCAATCCGCACGAGATGAAAGAGTCGGAGAAGAAGGGCGTCACTTTCATGACACTGGAGGAGTATGACTCTGCTGCCAAAAACGAACGTGATCCAACCTTTGGTATCCTACGAACTGAAGTCTCCACCGTTCCCAATGACCTTGGCTTCAAGCTCATGAAAAAATCCGTGCTCACCAATGGAAAGGAGAAAGACAAAGAGTGGAAAAAAAAGAATCCACTCTTGGCTACAACTCGAAGTATTTTTCATCAGTTCAAGATTCAGAAGAACGTTAATCTTGCTCAATATGGTGTGGCAGTCGTTTATGATAATCAAAGCGAAGATCACGTCACTATGGTTCGTCTCCAAACGGGTAATGTGGATCGAGAATGGGCCTTCGATTCTGATCTGGGCTCTGTCATCCCCAAGGATTGTAGTGATGATCAAGGAATGTGGTACTGACAAGGAAAAAAGGAACCTAATCTTGAAAGACCAGGTTTTCAATACTCTGGAAGAGGAGCCGGAGTTCGAGTGTCGTGATGAATTTGTATCCGAAAAAGGAAACATGGTTCTTCCGAAGGTGGGTGCCGGGGAAATAGACAGCAGTCATAGTTGCGAGCATGACAACATGAGAAGTTTCTGTTAGAGCAGTCTCACCCTATTCCTTGTTTATCTCTTGTACTTTCACAGGTCGCTTCATTGTTTACACTTCATAACCTCAGACTGGAAGCAAGCGCCGTACCTTCCCCTCCAGAAGGCGATAACAGTACTAGTGCTGACGAAGACTGCAAGCTGATGTATGAAGGGGCCCTGAAATTGTGCAATCTCCATCTAGATGATTGTAATCTCACCTTGTCACTCGAAGCATTGGAAAAAGTCAACTACAAGGTCGAAGATCTTGAAACGTCTCTGTCGAAAAAATTCTTGAATCCTTGGAAGAAAACCCTGACGTGAAACTCGCCAGAATGGAGTTGGACGAAACAGACTCGGATGATGGTGTTATCAACGTTTTGGATGAAATGGAGGCGATTTTGGAGCGTCACGCGGGAGGCAAGACCAGTGATACATTGTGCAATGACGGAAGAAACGATAGCGGCACTCATTTCCCACCACGAACTCCTTTCGTCGAAAGAGGAACCGGCTCTTCGAACCCGTCTCCAGCTGACAGTACGAGCAGTGGCACGAGCAGCAATATTTGTAGTACTGTGGCATCTGGAGTGCCTCCAAACCAACAGGTTGAAACACCGCAGCGCCTTCGGAAAGACTTGGATGGCTTGTCGCTTGCGCAAACGGGTCCCGTGGAAAAAACGGGTTGATGTGCCGGGTTTTGTATCAGGAAACAAAGGAAATGTTTATCTTGAATTTGCATCTGTTTTCTTTCGGGGCTATGAGAGAGATAGATCATTCCAATACAGCATTAAGCGGATTGGGTCATAATCTACGCCAAACAGAAGAGAATACTTTTGGAGATCAGACTGCCGCTGTGTAAAAGTAAGCCGAACCTCTGTGCATGGGCACTCACATTTCGGGACGGTAGTTCCTTAAAATTGCTAGTAAACGACAAATCTCGCCTCTAGCTAGCTAGTAGACTAGCTACGGTCAACTCCGGATCCTACCTGTACCCGTACCAATACCGTCCATTCCCAGCCCCATTCCCCACTATTAATAGTGGCCTACAGTCGAACCGGTACATGCCCGTTCCTGTTGGCTTCACACGATAAGGTTTCTGCACCATACAGGTATAAAGTCGGTTTTGGTCCATCGCTTTGAGACATCAGCGATACTATAGCAAAAACAGTACAATATCGGAATCCTTCTGTCTCACTCTCTATTTTCTGAGTTAACGGGACTCAATAATGGACCAAAATATTTAACTGTCTCACAAAAAGTATAACAAAAATGCAATACACGTTTAACAGAGGGTATGTGATGTTAAATCATGTTGTCAGTATGGGAGACATGCTATGAGTCAATGGTACTTGAGGTCGATTTCGTATTAATCTACTTATTGGTCAATCGGACATTGAGACAGTCATTTGCTTATAGACGGTTTTGGTCCATTTTTGGGCTGTAGCGCTGGTACACTTTCTACGTGTCTCACCCACTTCCGCGTACTTGGAATGGTAGGGTTAAGGGATTGGAGGGAGGCCAACTAGTGTGACACAAAGAGACCGGAGCACTCTGAAGTTATTAAGTGAATGCGTCATTTCAAGTCTTGATGACTTCTCTGCCGGTCATTGTTTCTAGGGCTATTATCTTTTTGTGCTCAAAGAATAAACGCTGTGTACTCTCATGTAGATAGCAAAGACATCACGACCGAAGCAAGATGTCAAAACGAGGCTCTCTGCATCGACTCATTCGACTCGTCGAACCAGGGTCGACCCTTCATGCGCAGCAGACCAGCAGCAGCAAGACAGGACCATCATCTTTGACCAGCACAGACAACGCTATCCATCACTGGAGACCACTCGAGTATACGACAACAAGAGACGGCAGGAACAAGAGTCTACGATAACAAGCAAGGAAGCAAGCAAGGGATCAAGCCCCATCACAGGTCGACGGTCTTGTTGGCAGTGAGAAAGAATCTGCCATTTCCATCACAACAAAATTGAGTGATTGATTGATTGGTTCGAGTTCCGTCATGGCGACGACCACCAGTCAACAGCAGCATCGGTATCAAGACTATACCGGTCTTCCAGAGATTTCACAACCACACAACAGCAACAGCGCTACTAGCAACAACCAGTCCGCTCCTTCGCGGCGCCGAGACTATTTGATGTCGCAAGCGAACAAGCATTCGAGTCGACAGACCATGACGACGGTGGGTTCTTCGTCGAGAGGTTTGTCAGCTGACAGCAGCGGCGTAGACCGTCGGATCCGTCTCTTGGACGGCAGCAATGCCAACAGTAACAATACGAACAACAACAACAACCCGCGACAGCATGAAGAACGAGAACGACAGCGACGTGCCGAAGAGAACGCTGCCTTTGTCAAGATGCTGGAAGAAGAGTCTTTCATGCTGCAAGGAGGAAGACTTCCTCCCAAGAACAACAGCAAGGATCGTGTCGATCGAAGCCGCAGCACTGGCAGTGGTGACTACGACCGGTATCGCGATGGACGAGGGCCGGCTTTCACCAACAATTACAACAACACTTTCGCCGCTAGTACTCAGCAAGGTGCCAGACCCGCTCAGCGTTATTCGCAGAGACAACAGCAGTCTCCGCAACAGCAGGCGTATCATCCTCATCATCTCTACTCGCCTTATCATCACAAGCATCAAGAAGAAGAAGAAGAGGAAGACGACGAAGCGCTGGAAGACAGACGCAGCAGCCATCATGATCGCGACATCCCTCTCGAGTTGACAATTCCCACCAATCATCGCAATCCGCCACAGCAAGAACAACTGCCGCAACAACAGCAAGAGTACAGTCTTAACATGAATCTGGATGACATGAGAAATGTTAATCCAAATGGTGAAGACCGCCGGCATCCTGATCAACTGCGTCTCATGAAGCGACAGTCCAAGTCACGGTCTCTCTCGCCTGGACACTCGCCCGTTAATAATAATAGGAGACACACTCCTCCTCCTGCTGCTGCTATTGTCAACGAGCAACAAGAATTCGAACCGCCTCCCAATCTCATGTCGCTAGAAGAGGCCATTCTGAACTTGGAAATGGAAGAAAACGGGCAGCTGCCCCCACAACATCATACTCCACTACCCCCCAGGAGGGATTTGCCACACGAATACGACGCCATTCTCACGGGAGGCAAGGATCATCGTCACGGACAGCCCAGTCCCCATCGACAGTCGCATAGACGGGAAGACAATCGTCATTACCACCCCTCCCAACAAGAGATTGTCGCTCACAATGGCAACCATTATCCCCATCCACATCATCCCCCACACCACCACGCTCGTCATCCTCATCACCACGAGCAAGGACAACCACGGACTACTTACGACCAACCTCCCGCGCGGTTGCCGGCGGAACCTCCCGCACGGCTGCAGGCTCCCGTGGAGTTTGTCGAGTTCCCCGTCGGCTGGGACGGAAGAGAGATTGAGACCACACAGGATGACGAACTACTGGATCGCGATGAAGACGAGTACTATCGTCGACGAGCGGCTCATCGCTTGCGCGAACAACAGGCGCAGCAACAGTCTCTCCAGTCGTTGCAGTCGCAGTCCCTTCAATCGCAGTCGATTCAGTCACAATCGAGGACATCCCGGCAAACCCCTCGTCCGGGACCCGTACGTCGCGCGCAAAGTAATGTCAGCAACGATTCCTTCTTGGGGGCTGCCGGAGCGGGAGCCAGCGACATGTATTCTCAAAATGTCGCTCTCAGTGGACGACGTGCACCCATGCAAATGATTGAAGTGTCGCCCGGTGTCTCCATGCCCTTTCGGGGATCGGAAGAAACTTGGGAAGCCATTGCGCTGAATCGCATTGTCCGAACCGAGTGTTTGGGATGTTCGATCCAATTGTATTGCGTCGAAGATGCCGAACTCGTCGTCTGTCCCGATTGTCAAACCATGAGTCCAGCTCACAAAACGGAAGACCCTCAAGCCAAACGAACTGGATTGGGACTTGGCTTTAAAGAAGAGCAGTTGGTCCAATGGCGTAATGCTGGACCATGAACATGGTCTTTTTAAAAACGGAACGAAACGACGAACTTGGGACGGTGGCCATCGCCTCGGATCAACGAAACCAGTAGCAAAGCACACACTTTGTTGTGCTTCTAACAGAGAACGAATGAATTCATAGAGAGATCTTTTTAGCTGTATGGCTAGCTTGAATGGAATAGCGAATGCACGTAGTGTGCAATGAAAACATGCCGTTCCATGAACGAACGAGGCAAATCCTTCAAGACTTGTGCCAAGGTAGCTCGGGTTCATTCAGGGGCTGAATGTCTTCCACCACAAAAGTACCCCCAGGTTCTGGTTAGTCTGGGGAACCAACCAAAAGAACAAACTTTGAGCCAAGTGCTACGCAATAATATGAGAGGCGTCCTCCACAATCACTTACTCTTATGCATAGTGGTGGTGCACCGGGTGTTTTTATTTTGGTAGTCCAAACATCCTGCAGGTAGTCAAACCAATGAAGTTTGTTGGCATCCAAGTATTATTGATAATGAGGGTTCACTTACCTTAAGCAAAGTCCCCCCATCGCCATTTCCCTTCGTCTCTTGGACCCGGTCGAGGCGTGCAATTTCAATGGAACCTGTTTCCACATTGGGAAGATACTCACGGAATGCATCAAAAGCCTCTGTCTGACAGCCCAGCAGAGCAGAAAATGGGCGAACTGCGAGTGAAGAACAAGGTCTTGCACACACCAGCATAGTTGCCCTCAACTACCAGCTAGCAAGCTGAGGGCCTTTGAACTATTTGTTGTGATTTCCGTCCTTGCAGCTCCCCTTTTATGTCCGTGCAGATGCCCCATGATGAGAATAGATAACAAGCAGCCGTAACAGCCAACCTGGGGTTCATGCCCAAATCCCACCATCGTCCATAACTAATGTCTTGGAACTGCTGCTTTCAACGTGCACTGGGTCAAACGTGGAACACCTGCTTACCTTAGGAAACTTGAGGCAATGCATATAAAAAGAGGAAGTTAGCCAACAGAACAACCGGCAGGAACTTGCAGATTAGACCCAAGAGAAAGAATGCGTCTCCATCGGGCTGAGAAGGAAGAGCACAGAAAGACCTAAGAAAGGAAGCACGACCGAAAAAGGAAGTGCAAGAGTCGTAAGGAGGAAACAAAGCAACAATCAGAGAATCGGAAAAGGAAGGACCGAGACAAGGAAACGGAGAGAGTGGTCCCAGATATAACTTTTTGAGAACGCAAAGAGAGGATCATAAAAGAGGCATGGAAAAAATAGAAAATCCTCACAACGCACAGGGAGTAAAGCCAGACCGGCCATACACGTCTACAAGGTTGCCTCCTCCCCCACCCCAAAATCATTATGCATTCGAAAAGCTTCGCGGTCACCAACGTCGAAATCGACGAGAAACAACGAGAATGGATGTACAAGACAATTCGAAGACATCTGCCAAGAAGCACAGGCAAGATCTCTCGTCCTTGCCAACGAAACCAGCAAGGACACTCGTGCGATTTGGAAGGCAATTGACGAATATTACTGCAAGTCCATGGTCGCAACACTGCGCCCGGATAAGATTTCGTCTTATCTCACCTCCGCCGAAATCGCAGAAGGCACATGGAGAGGGTCCCAAGTTGGTTTCATCTCCAACTTCTTCGAACAATTTCGGCAGTAAAATGAGACCAGCGACGAGCCATACACTGGACAACAGGGGGCACGTTTCTTGGAACGTTCAATCTCCAAGGCACCAATTCTCGCTCCCGTACGACGTCTCGCAATGCAGACCATGAAAGCTGCAGGCGACACGTCCAAGTATACTCTCGAGCAGTACCGATCGGCCCTTCTCGAGCAAGTACAACTGCATGACAATGCTAATCATGCGACGTCCACACGCTCTCGAAGCAACGCTCGTCATCGCACCTACCAACACGAAATTTTCTTCGACGATGGTACAGTGGAAACCTGCGGCGACACCTATGAGGCATTCGTCCATGATATGGATAAACCGGTGGAGGTCCTATTGCAAGCTCTTCAGACAGACACTCGTGGTTCACGCAAGGTCATGATGAAAGAAACCACATGGCGGTCGTTGTCCAAGTCGGATCCAGAGGCATGGGATATTATCTCCGAGCAGGGCAAGGAGAGCATTCTTGACTACACGGCTGACCTAGTTGTTCGACGTAGTCACCACAACTCTGGGCAATCACGCCCATCCAGCTCAGTCAACTCTCACGACCTCCTCGACAGGGGCAGCACCACGCCACGAGCAGGCAACCTAAAAGTGTCCTCGCACCAAACCAAGTCCAACAAAACGGACACTGACATATTGCAGCTCGCGTGCAATAAGACGCATTCAACGCCCACGTCCTTCGCCGGTGATGTCGCGTCCGTCCTATCACAATCGACCAATACGGTTACACGCGAGGTACGAGTTCTCGAGGTTGATCGCTCATCCAACGAGTCCTACTCCCACGAGATGTTGTTCAGCGGGCCAGAGATTGACACTGATTGGCAACCCTTCGTAAATTTCTCTGATGAATCCGATGACAGCCAAACACAAAACTCTCGTGGCGATACGACTACACCATTGGACCTCCTCCACGTACCCAACGAAGCGGATCCTCCAATGCCCGCACTCGATTATGGAGAGGCAATCCTTCAATCCGATGATCAGG